GCCCGACCCATCCCATGTCTTGAAATATGAACCTTTACCGCTCAGGAATGACATATCCTTCATTGAGCAGCCAATTTTTATATTGGATAGGAGGGAACAAGTGTTGCGCAATAAGGAGATTCATTTAGTCCGTATATTATGGCAGTACCATTCAAGAGAGGAGTCGACTTGGGAACAAGAAGACGAATCAAAGAAAAATATCCCAATCTTTTTCAGTAATCAGGTACACAAATTTAGAGGATTAAATTTCTTTAAGGGGAGGAGATTATGACGACCCTAAATTTTTTTTAAAAAAAATTGAAAACTAATAATAATAGTGTTAATAGAATAAATACAATAAAAATAAATAAATAAATGAAATAAAATAAAATACATAATGAAATATTTAGAACGATAATCATGGTGACAAAATGCACCATAAGGACCATCTTTTCTCTTACGTAAAATTACCCCTCAATTTAAATATGGACCCACGTTTCTTGGATATTTGATTAATAATTCAAAGCTACTGTTTTCTCAAATTTTTTGATGCTAGTCCATTTCTTTAAGGTGCACCTTTGGTCCATCAGCTCTTTTACCATAATTGAATGTAAAGCTTCTAAAACATTTCTCCTTGCAAGCGTATTGGGCATGGTGAGGCTGACGTGCCTCCATAAGATGTTGCATTAATTGTCATATTGTGTGGTGGCATTACCATATGTTTCAGTTAATCCTCTATTGATACATTTTAAATGATGTGATACGCTTTGCATCATGCATGGATGCTTTATAAATAAGTTTTCTTTTGATCTAAGGAGTGTCATTGAAAAGTCTTTCTCTGGTACCGTACTCTCTTTCTCTAAGTTATCATTTTGTTTTCAATGTACTCTCTCTCTCTTTAACATCTTCTTCCATCTAGTATGCTCTCTCTCTACAATTGTTCCTTCTACTTACCCATTATACCCTGCCATGGCTGCAATGTTCAGGTTTTCCATTGAAAACCTCGTAAGTCACCAGCCTCCTCTATCTGTTCAAGATTTCTCGAGACATCCTAACTATCTCTCATATGTGATAGATAGTTGAAAACCTCATGTGCTACAACCCATGCCACTCTTTTGAATCCAAAGCTTTACTTCCTCTCAGGATCTTATCCATGGTGCTCTCACCGCTCTTCTCTCTCTAACCAAATTTTATCGAAGTTCCCTCTTAAATATTATAAGTAAGTGATCGCATTCTTCTGAAAAATAATCAGTTTTTAATAAATAGTGATATTTCTGTCCAGCATCTTTATTTTATAAGGTTTGTGTATAAGTGACCTCTTTGTTTTGAAAAATAATCTTTTTAGTAAAATTGTGATATTTTATTTATTGTTTGGAATTTTAAATGCTGTAAATTATTAGAAATAAAGGTGATATTTCCGCTTTTAGTAAAAATATAAGATTTTCTTCTATTGTTTTTGAATATTTAGACATTGCAAAATTCATATGCAAATGTTTGCCTCATTATTTGAAAAACTGATATTTTTGCACTTGATTGTAGTATTGCCGATGAAATGATTATTTACAAATTGGCAATTCGATAAATTGTGATAATTCCGTATTTAATTTTGGATTTTCATAAAAGTTCGTCTTTTGATAGTAGACTGTTATCATGTTAAATTTCAAGAATGCCATTCAGAATTGTTACCTTTTAGAAATTATTGCACAAAATATTTAAATGGCTACTTAGAGATATTTCAATGGAAGTGATTGTTATTAAATTGCTTCAAGTGAATTTAAGTTAATGTTTCGCATATATGATATTGTTGCTTTCTGATGTTTAAAGAGTTTCAGAGATAATTTGAGTATAAGTGGATATGCGGTGATCGTTAGGACCTATCAGGTTATGTCGGTAGATACTATTTGGACTCATCCCGGGCGCCGGTGATGTATGATCGGACCTGCAATGATTGTTAGGACCTATTCGGTTACGCCGATAGGGTCTATTTGGACTCATCCAAGACGCCGGTAAGGTATGTTTCGACTTGCAGGGATTGTTTAGACCTATCCGGTAGGGCTATTGGACTCATCCGATACGCCGATGAGGTATGTTTGGACCTGCAGGGGTTGTTTGGACCCATTAGGACATTGCTGGGGTATATAAGTGACCTATTTGGGACGCCAGTAGGGTATTTTGTGGAATCCTTGAATTATGCATCTCTGTTAAAATGTTTATATGTATTTCCATCATTTGGATTATGTTTAACTGTGGATTTGTGAAAGTGCAATTGTTATCTATAAATGCTTTTGCTTTTAATTCTTCCTTATGTTGGTTTTTTTTACATGCATTCTTCAGAAAATGTTTATATCTTCAAACCATGATTATTTTTAGGACCATGATGATCACTTACTGAGTAGCCAAACCCACCAAACTATGGTAAATATTTTTCAGGGTAATTGCAGTCTCATAGTTAAATGCACATCAGGACTAGCTTGTGAAGAAGATGCAGTCATATCATAACTAAATTCTCCTTTGTAACTTTTGTTTAACTTCACCACTGTAAATTTTTTGTTCTATCAATAGATGTATACCTCGTCTTCATGTTAATACCAGTTGTGAGCAAACTTTGTACAAATTTTAATTAATAGAAAAATTTGTTTTGTTATTATATATATTAATAGGAATTTGAATTTTTCCTTGTATAAGAATAGTCTGTTGCACCTCGGGAATGTTAGAAATCTTGGGGCGTGACAGCTTGTATCAGAAAGAATCATTCATCTGAAGATTCATACAAATGAAAACCCTGTAGATATACTTACAAAGCCAGTCACTACAGAGAAGTTCAAGCTTTGCTTGGACTTGCTTAATGTCTCTCATTGTTGAGAGTGAGGGAAGCACCTCATGGCAGGTGGGGGTGCAGTAGCATACCTTTGTGGAGGTACAGGGATGAAGACATCTTCAAGATAGCTCGACAAAATTCAGGCCAAGGTGGATATTGTTGAGGATTGATGTCTTGTATTATGAGGAAATAGATCTGCCAAGGTGGAGTCAAAAAGACTATTCCGGAGGACCGTTAAAAGCCCGAAGGGCCGAAGGCCCATAGGGCTTGAGGCCAAGAGGAGTCGTCCTGACAGGTTAACTTGATGAACTCGGCCCCTGTGGAGGTTCGGGAACAGCAGGCCCCAAGGAAAAATTCGGATATATCCGTATATGGGATTCGATATATCTAGGACTTGATATATATATCCATACAAGGGTAATCCGGTAATTTATATTATCTATCTAAGACTCGATATATATTGTTGCGATTGGGGGTTCTTCTAGGGTTAAAGGTTAAAGAAAAAATGCAGATCTCTTTATAATTAAATAAAAATAGAGAGGCGTGAGGAAGAGAACGTATTGTAACCCTATTTTCATTGCCAGTAAAGAAGTTCTAATCTCCGGTGGACGTAGCCACATTGCCGGACCACGTATATCTTTGTGTTATAGTTGGTTGTCTCTTTCTTTTGTGTTTGTTTTTTCTTTCTTATTTTCATGAATTGCTTTTCGTTTCTATAGGGTCTCAGGCCAGGTCCGGGTCCATTGACACCGTATCAATTACGTTGTTGGAAAATTGATTGATAGCGATTCTGTTGTCTTGATTTCACTAACATATAGTGTAGGGAATCCATATTCGTAGGTATCATTTCTCACCCTGACAGCAGCTTTTCCATATGCATACAACAAAGTTTAGACTTTATGGCCAAATTTCCCATTAGTGTCCAAGACAAAGCATCCTCAAAGATTCCCTACTCTCTCCGAGAACCTTTCCAATCAATTATTTACTCCTCCATATCCCCTCATAAACCACTCAACCATATTAAACAGAAGGTTTTACTGAAGAAGAAACCCCTTTCGAAGTCCTAATTTCCATGTCTCCACTGCAAATATGCCTGCTAGCCCTTGCCTTACCTTTGCTTCTCCTCATATTGAGGCTCATCAGAAGGCAACAGGGATGGAGGGCCAACCTCCCTCCTGGTCCCTTGAATTTGCCTATGATCGGAAGCTTACACCGCCCCATCCGTGCGCCACACTTGTCGCTCGTCGTGCTTGCCCGTCAACATGGCCCCATCATTTACGTCCGCCTCTGTGCAGCACAGCAACTGTTCTATGGGTCCACTGACATTGCATTCGCGCCCTATGGCCTTTATTGGAGGCAGGTGAGGATCATTTCCCTGTTTTAATAGGTGATTTGGGTTCGAGCCGGATGAGAAAACGGATGGAAATATACGAGGCCTCGGGCATTGCTTTATGTCGAGGCATTCCACATTTAAGAAACCTTAAATTGTATAGGATCTAAACCAATATATAGGACTGCACCAATTTTGAAGTACAAACCAATATAGTAATTCTGAAATTTAAATCCTGCAATCTGGACATGGAATTTTTGATTCGGATGGCGAATTGGATGCCACCAAACCAGTACAAGGTAAATGTTGGTCCGGGCCCTGTCCTTCCCCCTACACCATATTTTGTTTTGGTCAAGTTTATCTAATACTTTTTTATTCCCTACAACACAAACCACTATTTAAATTTTATTTTATTTTTTTATTTTAAATATTTTTCGAACTTGAAATCGCCGATTCAATGATCTACCATGGATTTGCGGGGTGGACGATCCACACTCCACTTATTCAGATTTTGAGAGAAGTGGCAAAACTACCCCAGGTAACCTAAAAAGTATTGTTTTAAAAAAATGGATTAGTGACCTTGTTTGTCCATTTGGAAAACTATTTTGGATTGGCGGATCGATGTTCCAGATGAGTGAATCGGCCAGATCAGCCTGATCCAGCTTTAAAAAAATATAAAAACATGACTAAAATTTCTTGAAAATCTAAAGCTTATAGTTTTCCAAAAAAAACAAAAAAAAGTATTACATTACAGGTTTTCATTATTTTAACAAAAATACATAAATACTAAGAACACGTCCCATGTTAGAATGTTTATCCATTACACTCATTCTAAAATCAAAGTGAAATTTAAAATAAAATTAATTGCTAAAAATAGGCCTATCTAACTTTAAAAAAATTATTTTTTAGTTTTACAATCTATAATGCCACGTGCATTTGTAAATAGGTCTTACATACTTATTTCTTATTTTCTCTTTTTCTTGAAAATTGATTTATTGAAATAATTATTAATTTTAATTCTGATTTTTTTTAATATTATATTTTTCTAGGAGTATCGTAATTAATGTATAGTTGGGGAAGAATCAGTTCCCGATCAGAGAGAGAGAGAAAGAGACGGGGCAGAGGGGGAGAGAATGAAAAATAAAAAAATTCAATCCGAGAGACGGAGAGAGAGAGAATAAAACTAGAAGCACGGAATCCACGCGAAACTTGTGTGTGAAAATGAAAAAAGGAAAACCCAGTCCAAGAGAGACATGGTGAAAGGAAAAACCCAATCCAAGAGAAAGAATGCGTGACTGAGAGTCAATAAAAAGAAAAGCCGAATCTAATACAATCTCAAGAAATGAAGACGGGATATTGGATTGAAATAACCAACAATTTAATGCAAGTAAAATTAAATAAAAACAAGCATAACATAAAAGAAATATTGGATTGGTTAATGATTTTCAAATTTATTGTGGGGATCGCAAAATTGTTTCACCAATCCAATTATACTTTAAGCTTTTTTATGTTTTTCCTTATTTATCAAAAGATCTTTGTTTTCCCTGAAAAAAACGGATTGTGTCCCCTCTTCTGTTTCTCTCCAAAATTTTACCATTTTTTTTTTTTTTGTCAAAAGGGGTAAATTTATTAATCCTTGGTGGCGTATGAATTATTGAAAGAAAGTTTGGTGAGGGGACCATCTATTTGTCCTTCATTGTTAACACTCAAGAGAGAGAATTAATATTAAATAAGATCATCGTTGATTGCAGGTCGAAACTGCGGAGCAATTACGCTCTGTTTGTGGGGGCGCTTGGTAAAAAGTTTCAAAACAAAAAATTATTTTGAAGGAAAAAGTTTATATAAGGTGTCAACTGTAGAAGCACCTAAAAAACCTACTGAAAGATGATGTTTCATCAATAGAAAATTCTCCAATTGATTATCATGATCTTGATATACATGAATATGAAAGAAAAATTGAATTTCAATTTTTAAAAATAATGCATCTTATAACACATTATCTAGACTATCCATTTTCAAGATTTTCGAATGTTTATAGATCTACTAGATTTACACCATTTTCAGAGCTTTCAATTTCATTATAGGGGTGAAAAATAGACTTTTAGGCCATAATCAAAGTTTTGGCATTGAAAATACATCTTCTAATGAGATTTTGAGGTGCACCATATCGTGATTGTCTAATGAGACCAATTACCTCTGATACAAGGTGATTACAATTAATCATGACTATTGGACGTGAAATTAGGTGGCTGTATATATTTCATTGACTAAGCTCAAAGTTTAAAAGATTTTCTCGAACTTTGTGACACACTAGATATCAAATTTCACATCGGATGGTTATAAGTAATTGTGACCTCCCTGTAGCCAAAATAAATAGTCTCATTGTAGACAATCCCCCTTAAAAGGCACACCTATCCTAGAATTTTTATAGTATTAGATCCCTTTATTTTCTTCTGACATGTGTCCTCTCTTAACCGTGGCTTAATATTGTAGGATAAGTATACCAAATTTTTCTTATGTCTTTGATGTCCCTTATATATAAATAAGGGAAAATATCTCCATATCTCCTATTTTTAGATTTTATTTTTTGATAAACTCAAGATTTCAAAAGATATCTTCTAACTCCTTGCCACTTTACCTATTTTTTAATCTAAACAAATGTGAGAAAGACATAATCTTTCTAAACCCAATCATATCTCTCTTCACTTATACACTCCAAATTTCTGTCTTTCTCTCTCTTCATGCCTCTCTCATTATCTCTCTCCACCCATATTTTTCCAAACACCTCCCTCTCTCTCTCTCTTCCGGGTAACCTCTCACCTCCATGAAGCCCGTCTCTCTCTATAAAAATTTGGGAGGATGGCTTTTAGAAAAGGCTCGTCTTTTTAAATTTGTTTGACCTAAAAAAAAAAGGTTTAAATTAGCTCTGAGGATTAGAAGAAATAAAATCTACAATTTTTATGCTTTAAGATATCTTTTAAAACCTTGAAGCTATTGTGAAATAAAACCTAAAAATAAAAAGTATAAAGATATTTTCCCTATAACTAAATCCGAATCCATTTATAACAGTTGCATTTTTTTCACGAACGTAAAATTGAGTGAGTTAAAGTTGTTTACAATGGTTGCTTTTGAAGAAGCATTCGCTAATATTATCCTTACTTTAGTACATTACTAAATTTTCTAAATTTTTTCTCTACACGTACATATTGTTGCCAATGGTATGTATAACGACACGGCCTTTATGGTACCCTTTTACATGCCTAGGTGTTTTATTATTGAAAAGGTTTTCTTGGTCTAAAGGTAATATGAAAAGATTACCTAGGAGATCTAGAATCTATGAATAAGATCCTTTCACTTAAATACCTCTTCAACTATGCTCAAAATGTGCCAATTTATTGTTTGGAATCTTCAACTAGCAGTGTTATTTTAGAAATTTCTCTCATAATACATCTATTTTATTGAGAAAATATCCCACTTGTTCTTGATTCCAAACCCTAAGCATGCCATTTTTTTGAAAAAAACACATGTTCTTAGTTTGGATTACGAAACAATTTGAGATAATTTTATCATTTAGGTCAGAGTACCTAAATCAAGTGAAATGATATAAATCATCTTTTACGTAGGTAGGAAATTTGAACACATAATGGTATTTATGCCATCTGACTTGGGCCATCTAAAAACGATAAATTACTCAATACATCCACCTTGTACAGGATTCTATATATTGAAGTACATCTTTTCAGAGAAAATAAAAGAGGGAAGGTCTTGCGTTAAATGGTCTTTTTAAAGTAATAATTTAGTTGAATCGATAACCGCAGTGGTTTTCTAAGCTAAGCTTAACATTTTACTCTTTTTTTAGAGTGATTTATATACGGTCCCTATAATATTTTCTAAAATACAAAATGCTCCACTTTCAACCCACTTTTTTTATTATTTCCAAAATTGCTCCTCGGTATAAAGATATCATCCTCAATATGAATTTTACTTTTTTTTTTTCTTTTAGTTTTTTGTTTATAGGGCATTACCTCAAGCTTTAGGGCAATGCCCTACTAACAAAAAACCTAAAAAAAAATAAAAATAAAAATTCAGTGCAAGAATGTCCACGGATCGAAAGGTAATTTTGAAAAAAAAAAGGCAAGTTGATCGACTTTCTTTGTAATTTCTACCTATAAATAAACCATTTCGGTCGATATGTAAATTGCTCTTTCTTTTAAGAGAATTTGAAAATCAAATTAGTGCTCGTCTTTAATTTGAGTAATCGTTTTCTCCCTATAAATGAAGCATTTCGGTCGATACGTAAAATGCTCTTTCTTTTAAGAGAATTCGAAAATCAAACTAGTGGTCGTCTTTCATTTGAGTAATGGTTTTCTCCCCAGGTGAGAAAGATATGCATCCCGGAGCTATTCAGCACAAAGAGGGTGCAATCCTTCAGATCCATGAGAGAACAAGAAGCAGCACATTTGGTGAGCTCAATACGTTCATCATGCAGGGTGGGCGAAGTCGACCTCACCAAACTTCTAGGCCCTTTCGCTAATGGCTTACTGTGCCGTGTTGCGTTAGGGAAGAACGACTGCGAAGGTGGGGAGTATGAGAGGGAGTTCAAGCGGATGTTAGAAGAGTACCAAGTATTGTTCGGGGGTTTTAGTTTGGGAGATTTTTTCCCCTATTTAGAAGGATGGTTGAATTTGATCACCGGAATGGCATCGAGGATGAAGAAGACTCTGGAGGATTTTGATCGATTTTTTGATCAAGCGATCCGGGATCACCGCAGGAAATCGAAGGTTCCTGGGGGTGAGAACGATGTGAAGGATCATTTTATCTCAGGTACGAAAAGTTCACAACAACCTTTATTAATATGTGAAATCTAACCGTCTTGAATGCATAATAAAATTCAAAAAACTTCCTTTGTGCATAGCGAGCCTGATTAGTAGAACACCTCTAGCCATCCAACTTCAAATTTAGCAGCTGGAAATCATTATAACCTCGTATTACAAAAGTTAAATGTTGCCCTTTTGTACTGCTCATTACTTTAATTGAGTGATATGTTCTTAGAAATCAATTGCAATTAAGCCTCTTAGCGCACTATTCAAGTACTGCAGCGGTAGTGAGAGAGAGCAGACTTACCAAAGGGTCACATTCCATAACATCACTCTTTGCATTCCTCTATGACGTTGCTCCACTAAATCAATATGATATAGAGTATCCGCACTCAATCTTGATCATTGTGGACTTTTCCAAGATTCAATCTATATTTGCGGTCCTCATGTACTCCGAAACGAGTTCACCAAACCCCACTTTTGCCTTTTTTCTTTTTTTTTTTTTTTTTCTTTGACGTCATTTAATCTTTGATTTCTTTGATAGAACACTGGAGTGCATAAAACATTGTTTGAATTTTATAATTTAATAAGAAAGAGAATCATGATAAAATTTTTAGGGTGAGTATGATTTACTACGTTGCACAAGCAAACAATATAAAAAAATTTTAAAAACTAAAAATAAGAAAAATACCCCTAAATACTTCAAAGGTATATTGTTATTTATTTTTGTCAATTGTTTATATTTTTTAGAGTGATTTACGTATGGGCGTTAAATTTTTTTCTAAAATAAAAATGCTCCTGGAGGTGGAAATTACAAAGGTCTTTCAACTTTTTCTTTTTTTTTTTTTCAAAATTGCCCCTTGGCCCAAGGATATTCTTGGACCGAATTTTAATTTTCTTTAAAAAAAATTTCGTTAGTAGGGCACTAACAACATTTTCTTTTTTCTTTTTTTTTTTTTCAAAATTGCCCCTCGGCCCAAGGAAATTCTTGGACCTAATTTTAATTTTTTTTTAATTTTTTTCGTTAGTAGGGCACTACTTTTAAATTTAAGGCACTGCCCTACTAACAACAACACTAAAAAAAATTAAAATTACTGAGGATTCCATCCTTGGATCAAAGGATAATTTTGAAAAAAATAAAAAAAAGGTACATTGACCCACCTTCGTTGTAATTTCTCACTATAAATTTGAACACAAACTAATGTACTATAAAAATTGTAAAATTAAATACATGGGCATACACTTAATTGTCTGATCAAGAATCAGACAATTGAGAGAAAAAAGTATTTTAACACAGGAAAAACATTAGTCCCTTTTAGATCAGACAACGAGAAAACACAATCACATATCTTTTACATGTGTGTGAAACCACATAAAAAGTTTACCCACTCCCGTATGCCCTTGTTGCTATGTCTCTAGAGAGGCCTTTTACCAATGGCTCAAAGCTTGTTGGTAGTTGGACAAACAAGTGGTTAACCTCCAAACCATGTATCATTTCATTTTCTAACGTTACTTGATTATTTTGGTTTTTTAAATTGCAATCAATCGAATTGGTAGCATTGCAGATTAATTCTTTGATAATATACAAATTTCACTGTTTGGTGAAAATCAAGATGCTCCTTGAATATGATATTTTATTGAAAGAAACCGCAACTGATTTTACTAGAATAAAAAATGCTTTAAAAGGAATGCCTTTTTTAGTTCTCTTATAATATTAGCGTTTTTTTTTTTTCTTTTCTTTTTCTGATTGTTCAGCCACAAGAATCATACTTCCAGTTGTGGTTTGTGTGAGCGTAGGATACGTATCATGATATCAGAGCCATAGACTCCGAGCTCTGCTGGATTGTCATGATGGCTTTGGCAAATTCGTCTCTTAATTGTGATTTGTTCTTCGCACATCGAAATAGTGGAAATTGTTTTTCATTTATTAATGAATAGCGATATAAGTTCCAATGAACTGAAGTAGAGGAAACCAATAGATGAAGGAGATATTTCAAGATTTTGGATCACTTTTGCATGCCTTTTCACGGTTACAGCTTAGAACAGACTCTAGTTACAATTTACAAAATTTAGTTTGATATTGCTAATCATAAAGTGTTTGATCTTTTCTTTTTATAGAGATCAGATCCATAGCTGAGCTTTCCTTATTTATGCATGAATAAATATGTAGGATTTCGGCCTGATCTTGATTGTAATTCTTTTTGACTTTTAAAAATGAAACCAACGCCTAGTTCAGAATTACCCTACCCCCCATCCCTCCCCCATAACCAACAAAAAAGAAAAAAGAAAACAAAACAAAAGTGACAATGTAATCAATGGCTTGTTCATCTTTCACGATCTTTGCTTTTTTGACAAATTTATACGATTGTAAGCTAAATCAATCGTTTTTTTTTTTTGCCTTTTAAGATTCTACAAAATTGAAATTGTTTCTATTGCCTATATCTCTATGTAATATATTGACATCATCTTTCAATAAAATGTTTTGGAGCGTTGGAATTTGCATACCAACCAACAATAGTGGTTATTTTTTAATAGCAATTTACGAAATGAATCATTATCTTAAATATCTCTATCTATGTGTTCTTTGATACAATATTCATTGGCTTTCTAGGACATGTTTGCCGCCGGTACAGACACAACATTCATAACCCTCGACTGGGGCATGACAGAGCTCATTAGGAATCCAAGGGTAATGAAGAAAGCCCAAGACCACATTAGGAGCAAAATTGGACACAAAGAACAAATCGAGGAGAGCGATTTGCAAGAACTAGATTACTTAAGAGCTGTAGTAAAAGAGATATTTCGGTTACACCCAGCTGCCTAGGTGTTGCTTCCTCATTTATCCATGGAAGATGTGAAGATAGGTGAGTACAATATTCCAGCAAAAACCCGATTCTTTGTCAATGTCTGGGCAATCGGAAGAAATCCCAAATCTTGGGATAACCCTGAAGAGTTTTGCCCTGAGCGATTTATGAATAGTTTGATTGATTTTAAGGGCCAAGACTTAGAGTTGTTACCATTTGGTGTTGGTCGTCGGAGTTGCCCTGCCATTACATTTGGAGCAGCCACAGTGGAGCTTGCCCTTGCTAATCTCCTCTACCACTTCAACTGGGAGCTACCCCCCGGGGTGAGACCAGAAGAATTCGACTTGACAGAAGTATTTGGTATAACAATGCATAGGAAAGAACACTTAGTTGTCGTTGCCAAACCATATAACTGATCGATGAGCATAACTTCTGTTTTTCAGTTGTGAAGTGCCTATTGAAGTTTTATTGATGGTCAGGGGGTAACAAGTGCAAATTGTGCGGACCATACAGCCATCCATTTGCTGGGGAAGGATAATTAGGAACAGAGTCATATTCGTTGGAGCATGTTATTAGAGGTTAGGTAAAGGAACATAGTTCCTTTCAGATTTCCCGTTGGATTTCTGTAAACTTTTCATGCTTGGGTATCTTGGAATTCATGTGTGATATAATTTCAAATAGCTATATGTGCTGTTATTTAAGTGTACAGTAACTAGCTCCATGGAAGACTTCAAACTCCAATATGTTATGGCTTTTGTGTAATTTTTAGACTCCCATATATAAAAGAGCCCCTTTCAAGATTTCCTTTTTAATCTTGATTCCTATTTAAGTCCCTTAGATTTATCTTTCGAAGATATTCTCAATTACATTTTATTTGAAATATCCAACCTGTTCTGCTTTATATTCTCTTCTTTCTCTTCATGACACAAAGTCTCCAATTCTATGGAAGTCCTTCCATCCACAAGGAGCAAGCCATCGGAAAAATTACCACCAAAGAATAATCTCTAGATTATGAATATTCCTTGACTCTAATGACAAAACGACATGAGTTTGGCTTTATAAAAGGTGCTTTTACTGTGTGAAACTTGATTAAAGGCCATGCGATTGAGAAAATTCATGCATGGTCGGCGAAAAGATAATTCCAAGCAAAGATGTTTTAACTTCAAACCTATGATCGGAAACTCATCCACAATGCTCTATATGAAACCATGTAACTCAAACGCAACGCTCGAACGATTTTGAATCGAAATCCTAAACGGAAATGAATGTGAACAACATTTGGTTCTAAGAGGGCGAAGCACAATAATCTGACATTTTGCTCTGGCCCTCAACACCCTAAGCAAGGGGCCGTGTGCACAAAAGTCACAATATAACAGTTTTCAAATACCAGATTCTACAAAATACTCAATCCACTTATCTCCTTGTTACACATATATTCTTCAATCATTATTGGCAAGAAATCCAAGGTCTGCATACACATATATGTGCGGTTCTTGAAATTTTCGCCCCTCTTATTCGGGATGCATTGAACTTCTTTCAATGCTAACATAGGATGGATAAATAATTACCCATTTCATAACATGGTCTACGAACTTTGTTTCCATATGGGGGAAATTTTGCCATTTCAACTGGCACAATGTTGGATTTGGTGCTATCCCAAATCACCTATATAAAGAAATCTCATTTTATG